TCTAGATACAGCCCCTATAAAACAGCCACACAAATCTATGTTAGTTATTTTTCCAACTGAAATACATGCAAACACACACTATCCAGATATACCTTCACACATGCTAGATTCACTCATTTCACACAAACAAATATTTTCTTTCTCTCTCTAACACACACCACTTAAATTCTCTTTTCCCCATTCATCCAGAGAACTGCACATATCCTAGTCAGATATACCCACATTCTCACAAGCCCCAAACCCAGATATATATACATTCATTTTCCTTCTTACACACACCACTCAGATACACCCACTGTCACACATATACCCAACACCAATACACCCACACTTTCACACACATTCAATTTACATACATCCATTCTTATATATAACCTCAAATATGCTTACCCTTACAATCATTCTATCCAATTAATTTCACACTTAAACAATCTCTAACTCAGTATGCCCACATTCTTACAAACATACAGTGTTTAGATATACTAAACTTAACCCCACCCCAACTTGGAGTCCTCATACCTGTCTTACAACCTTTACCTACAATCTCTTTCAAATGCACACAATCAGAATATACCCAAGGTGACATATGTACCCTCCAAAAGACACTGCACTTAGATACACCCCCACCTAGATACATTCACAATTTCTCAAGCCAAGTATATGCACACAGAGATACATACATTCATATACCACCCAGATGCCAACCTAATTTAGAAAACTCACATTCAAACACAAATTTTGTCCAGATGTACATTCATGCTTTCTCACATTATCTGTTTCCTCTCTCTGTCTCTCTCACACACACTTTGCCACCTAAGTATATTCACGCTTTGACCTGCTCACTATTCAAACACATCTACATTCAAATCCTTTTCCAAATGCACCCACATAGTGTCTCACAAACAGCCTGAATGTATCCATACACTTTTTCTCATATACCATCAGGATACATCCACATCTCATAAACATGTGCCATCCCAATACACATGCGCACTGAGTCTACTGATTAAAACTGGATTGAGTGTATGAAGAAAGTGTTTAAGGCACATCTGTGTGGGAAGTACTGTACAGAGTGTGGGCTGGGTACATCCATATGGTGTGGAGGAGAGGGAAGCATGGGTGGATTTGGATAGTAGGTTTGTGTAGAGGTATACACAGATTGTTTGTGTGACAGTTGAAAATATTTGGGTGGGATGTGTGTGTGTATCTTTGTGTTTCAAAAAATCCTACCCTCCCTAATATACACAATTATCTCACATGCACACTCTAGCCAGAAACACATATAATCCCTTACTCTACACACTCATGCCCCTCAATACCTACTACTTTCCTAAGATATACTTTCACCTAAACATATTTTTTAACATCTAGATTTCTGCCTGGTGGCATAATTTGGTTCTGTCTGTGAAATGTCCAGATGCTGCACATTCATACTTTCTCACATTATCTGTCTGTTTGTCTCTCTTTTCACACACACACACACACACACACACACACACACACACACACACACACTCCAACCAAAGCTCCAACTAACCCTAGGCACTATTATGATGCCATTCTGCCCTATGCCTTTGACAGTGGTGGGATAGGAAGGGAGATTTTTTGTTTCAAAGTTTAAGCATCGCCCCCAGTGCTCATTAGCGAGCATGTGCAGAATGCTGTGCAGAAAGTAAGTGCATCCATGTGGTGTGAACAAGATGAAAGCATGGGTGGATTTGGGTAGAAGGTTTGCGTAGAGGTCAGTCTGCACAAGGCCAAGGCCAAATCTCATATCAGACAGGCAGATGCACAAATACCTTTATTTACCCTCACACAGGCACATTTCCATTGGACTTAGTCCCAAGTACATCCATTTATTCTTTTAAATGAACTATATTCACACGATTTACTCATGAATGACATGCATTCACTCACAAACACAAGTACACAGACATACTTTTACATATCTACAGAGATATGTAAAAATATATGTATCATATCTGAAGAGATGATAAGGAAACGGGGGCACAGAAGGGGGGCTCCCAAACATGTATATGTATACACTCAAACATAATCACAGAAGTATATTTGCATGCATGCATACATACAGACAGACATATATGTATAGGTGTGCTCACACATATCCATACCCAGATATGCAAATCCTTGTAAATGAGATTATGTATACATATGCAGATATTATAACACATAGACTTGTATGTACAACTGACCATGTACACACACAGCATATTTATGTTTATGGACTTGTACATAGATTAATTCATTTTTATATGTATACAATGAACTATAGAAATACATATACTCACAAAAGCACACTATCACAGTCAGGTATATATACACTATTATGTCCATATACCCTTTCTGAGAAGCTACATAAATGAAAGAAGAGCAACTTATATGTACATTGGAATAGAATACAAAAGCATATTTCAATACATGCACATATAGAAGTACACTCATGTATTCTTGCACATACACCTGTTGATCTGCATAAGATTTGATCAATTTTATCACATACATACATGCAAAGGTATCTAAATGGATGCACAGGCACACATACATACACAAATGTGCTTGTGAACCAAGAATGGCACGCACAGAGATTTATATGCATCATTCTATAACATATGCTTTAGACCAAACAAAGATAAATACAAACATACAAATACAAACCGGAACTGTGCAAACTGGTACTTCCACATTTGTGTATTCAGACAGGCACACACACAGGCCTATTCAAAGATATACACTTAATTGTGTTTGATCACACATGCCTATGTATAGATATATTCACGTGAATGTATGCACAGTTAGGTATTAACAAATAACAGCATATATATGCACAATCACTCAAGGCATATTCAAATATAGTCACACTCAAAAATAAAAATCCAAATAAAAACATAGTAAGACACATGCACCCAAGTATTATGAAATGTGGTTACTCATGCATACCATAATCAGATATACACTTACACAAATTAGACATCATACAAATGTACCCATTCACCTATGCACACAACCTTGTGAGTAGTGTAAAACCCTACAGTCATATTTAAAAATGTAGTCCAGTGCGCACACATAAAATATTTTTCATTCATCCACTCTTCCTTTATCTCAGTGTGCCTATTTATACTTACATTTCTTTAAATAGATATGAACACACAGGTCTGTTGAGAGACAGTGGGCACTCAAACATGCACATGCAGACATAGACATAAGGAAAAATGCTATGAATGAATTTATACAGACTTTCACACATAGGCCTAGTCACACAAATATATGACAGCCACACCCACAACACATATAAGCATGCACACACACACACACACACACACACAAACACACACACCCTCTCCTACATGCATGGGACACATGTATGTCTTTATGCTCACACATATTTAGATGAACCCACACTAAAAGGCACATGTGGAAAAACAGGAATATTCACAATGAGATCCAAGTAGGCATTCATTTACTCATACATATGATCAGATAATGTGTGTTCAAAGACAAATTGATACCACACACACACAAACAAACATTCAACAGGCCTAATATAGATTCAGAGAAACACACCAATATTTGGGTCAAAATCAAACATGACCATTTGCTCACCAGATATGCAAAACCATACCCTCCAGGAAAGACACAAAGCTATCCAGATACCCACATGATCCCATATGCCATCACACAGTCTGTTCTCTCTTTGTCCCCCCCCCCTCTCTCTCTCTCTCTCTCACACACACACACACACACACATACACCTATAGTGCAGTGATGAGACATGTACACATGGACTATACACTTCTTTTCATGTATATTCTTAGTTTCAGGTCCAGACGCCCCTGGGCAACAGGCTAGATTCTCTCCCTTCCACATCAAATGCTTCTTCAGGAAAGTCCACTCATATCTAAAGGTCCTGGCCCTCCCTGTCCCTCAGCAGAAATCTGTCTTCAGTCTCTCTGCTCTTGGCTCCTCTGCTGATCTCTATCCCCTTGGTATTCTACCACATCTCCATATCTAGAAACTAGCTCAGAAACTCCAATCTCCCCAGCCCAGGGTCTAGATGGACAAACTCTGCTGCAGGTTTGGCTACTGCATGGACCACACCCCAGCTCTACTCAAAGCCCTATAATCTCAGAAGCTTCAGCCTTGTCTCCAGTCCCTGCCAGCCACTGACCATAAGCCAAACTCTTGCTAATTTTCCCTCAACAGAGGGACACATACTAGGGCCAGGAATGCTGCAGGCTGTAAGCCAGGCTTCTGCTGGCTCACAGTCTGGTGTGTGTGTGTGTGTCAGTGTGTGTACATAAACAGGGACAAATGCAGAAGGGGAAGAACCTCAAGTAGGATAAGAATGACTGCCTACACTACCCATCATTCCTGACAAACGAGAAGTAACAGCATAGTGCCATTCTATTTCCCTCCATCTTTCCACTTGCTGCCTTCTCTAGAGCTCTGCTGAGACCCTGGAGAAAAGGTGTTAATCCTTTCCCTAATCAATAGCAACACTAATCATGAACAACCAGCAATAATATTGACCCTGAGCTTTGCTGACAATGCTCAGTGCCATCCTATGCACACTTTTAATTATTTGCATGCATCAATTTATTTAATCCCTGCACACAGTCACAAAGAAAGGGTTACCAGTCTCTTTGACAAATGGGAAAAACAAGGTTCAACAAGTGACATGCCTCCACTAAAGTTGTGAGCTTAGTAGTTAGGAGATGTGTCCCTAGTAGAATCCATGTTCTCCATATACCAGGTTTTCCTGCACTTCCAGATACAGGGACCTCTGGCTACTGTGTCATTGATCTGGAGGTCCCAAACACATTATGGGTATCTGAAACAGAAACAGAGAGCCATGTGATAGAAGCCAGGGCCCAAAGTGTGGGAACCACTATGTTGTTCCTGTCCCCTGTGTATTGTCATGGGGACATGTTCAAGATCTCTCAGAGCCCATGGTCTGAATGTGCTTCCTACCCCCACCTTACCTTCCTCTATTCCTATAGCAGCTTCCTCCCACTAGCTGGGACACATCTTCCAGGGTGAGTGAGCAAAAGTATGTTACCTGTGGGTAGAAACTGGGAAAAGAATAAAGGAAGGAATGAGGGCTGGTCTGCACTAGAAGCGGCTTTCTTGCCATAGCTACCCACCTGCTTGCTGACTAGGGTCTCTGTGTCTATCTCTCTTACATAGACACACACACACACACACACACACATACACAGAGAGAGAGAGAGAGACAGAGAGAGAGAGACAGAGAGAGACAGAGAGAGACAGAGATAGAAAGAAAGAGAGCTCACACACAATTCTGCAAGCCAAGGAACCTGGAGAAGGGTGAAGGAGGGAGGAAAGGAAGCTGCAGGCATTGTGAGAACAAGACTCACTGGGCACCCAGGTACCCCTTCCACAGCTAGCACACAAGGAATGGTCTTGTGTCTAAATGTGACCACGAGGATAGACACAGACCCTGTTAGGGGTTGGGGGTGGGGAAACAGGTGGTGGTTCCCTTTCTTACGGGACATTCGGGATTAAGGAAGATCAGCAGTCCGGGGGCTTGAGTATTGTCATAGTCAGTGATAAAGCAGAGACTAACAGACAGGAAGCATGACAGTGATAGAGACTGAAATATGTGGGGGGACAGAAGAGAAGTCCCAGCTACCCTCCTCCCCAGCTCCTTCATGGAAGGATACTGACTACTTACCTGGGTTCTCTTAGCAGGACTGTCTTGGAATTCAGGAAGGGAACTCACTCGATCTCAAGCAGGATAAACCACAGTCCAGGCCACATTGTGGGACCCTCAGTGATCTGGCAGCCAGTGACACTCCTGCTTCTGTTGCCGTGGATACAGCCTGGCTGGTCTAAATCGCTGGCAGCAGGGGAAGCAGGTGCCAGAGGGGTGCACTTGGTAGAGCTGGAGATGTTGGGGAACACCAGGTGGGCAGCACACAGCTTTGGGGTGCCCAAGTAGTGGGCAGGAAGGGGTCCTGGTAGGTGCTTCTCCCGCTACACACTCCCACCCCCATCTTTATGCCACCACCAGTCTGGGAGGGGGCCTGAGCTAGCTCTGCTACTGGTCTGCCTGCCTGCCTGCCGGTTCCCCCCCACCCCCCACCCAGTCTGCCTGCTGGCCGCAGCCTTTTGTCCTCAGAAGACACGGTCCCAGCGGGGCCTCTGCCAAGCTTCTAGCAGATGCTCAGGGTCCTGGACTCCTCCCTGGGAGCACACGAGCCATGGCCTGGGAGGGCCCCAGGTTAGGGGCACACTCTCATCCAGGCTAACCCCACTCTCCCGGCCGGGTGAGGATGGAGAAGAGGTGCAGGTCCACAGCCAGAGGCAGCAGCAGAGGTGGTGTTGGGGAGGGGATGGACGCCAGAAAGAGGGGGAGGGGTGGAGGGAGAGAGAGGCTGGCCTGATAGCCGTGTCCCAGGTTTTAGATCCGGGTTGAGAAGGGTGGCTCAGAGCATCCAAGGGGGGTCCTGATGCGAGACGAAGGTATGGTGGACCTGCCGGAAGAACCTTCCTTGCCCGGGAATCGCCCTGCTCCACACAAATCCAGGTTCCACGATGCGGGGAACACCTAGCTTGGATGGGGTCTCAGTGAGGAGTCGTGGCCCCTTAGCTGGACCCTGTGTAGCCTGTTGGTCCTCCCCTCTCCTCGATTTGCACAGTCCCTGCCCGAGGGGCGGGTGGAGGAGGGAGGGAAGCAGGGAGAGCAAGGGAGGGAAGAAGGGAGGTTGAGCAGCCGGGAGACTCCCAGCCACCAGCAAGGTCCTCCCTGGGGCGGGGCGGCTGGGGTTGGGGGAGGGGGCTGACGAGACCAGGAGAACTTGGCTGGCTGGCTGACTGAATGGGGATGTTTGGTGTGGTGGTTGTTCTTGCCAGGACAATAGCTGGCTGACAAACTCAGGCTCAGGCCTTTCTGACTTGAGAGAAGCCTGCGTGGAGGTGAGGAGAAGTAGCCAAGCAGCTTAGGCTACTAGTGTAGAGAGGGCAGGACTTGTAATGGTCTGGGGTCTGATTTTGAACAAAGATTTGGTGGAAGTTTCTCAGGCTTGGCATGGGAAGGCTTGGAAGATAGGGTAGATAACCTTATTTAGAATGGGGTTTTATGGGCTTGGTCTGGAAGCTAGCTTGGAGGGAGGTGGAGGAGGAGTGTAGACACCCAGCTCAGAACAGCCCGGCAGGCTATCTCTGATGCTGCTTCTACCTTTTCTGGGCCAGGAGGCAAGACGAATTCATATGTAAGATTGCATTCCCGGACAGCATAAGACGAAAGATGAGAAGAATGCATGGTGAACAGAAATGTGAAGACTAGGGAATACATTTCTGTTTTGAATCGGTTTAAATTGGGACCAAATGATGCTGTAGTGGTTCCTCTAACTCACAGCATTCAACAGTTCCAATTCTCTTGATATGAAAAGTGTATTTTATTTGTCTTCTTCCCCCATTTGTTGATTCATTCATTAGACACAGCTTTATGTAGGTCCAGTGCTGGCCTCAGATGACTCGGGTGGATCAGACTTGCTGCCCGCTCTTATGAAGCGCATGATCTGCTACCAACCTGTGGGCCTGGAAGCCATGCACCTGCGTCTGCATCCCTCTGGGACTTGTGAGATGTAGGTCCCAAGGCCTGCTCCCTGGAAATATAAATCTGGTAGGTGGGAGAGGTGTGAAACATTTTTTAGAAAACCTTTAGGTGGCTATTTTTATATCTCTCAAATTTGGGCACCATGCTTTGAAAAGGATAAAATCCTATGGACTGAACATAAGTTCGCAGTGGAAATTAGGAAATGCTTTGGACCGACCTAGAATGAAAATCTTCACCTGAAATCTTGTGAGATGCCTCTAAGTCTGTGTGGAGGGAAAATTTCATAGCTTTAAATTCATATATTTTTAAAAAGGAAGAGCCGGATTTCTGTCTTAAGTTAGAAAAGGAATAGAAAATAGATCCACACCAGAGAAGAAGATCAATAAAGTTAATGGTTCTTTGATGAATTCTTGAGACATCATGATTCAGAGAGTAAGAAAGCATGTAAAAAGTGTCAGGAACAAAGGGGTCACTACACTGTATAACACTGAGTTATAATGAGAGGCTATTAGTATTATAATTTTATGCTTGCAAATTTGAAAGTTTTGATATGGCAGAAAAAATTCTTGGCAGATAAAATTTACTGAAGGTCACAGAAAATATAGACTATCTGAGCAATCATAACTATTAAACAAACAAAATTTATAATTTTAAAAGGTTTATACAGAGAAATCTCTAGGAAGCTAGGGAGATGGCCTCAGTGGATAAGAACACTTATCTGCAAATGCAAAGACCTGAGTTCAGATCTGTAACAACTGTGTGGAAGTGTGGCATGGCTGTGTCTGCCTGTAACTCTACCATTGGTGGGCAGAGGCAAGTGAATCCATAGAATTTGCTGGCCAGCCAGCCTAGCCAAAACACAGTGTGCTTCCAGTTCAGTGAGACCCTTTCTCAAGGTGTTTATGTAGAGAGCAATAGACAGAAACATCTAAAGTTCTGCTCCAGCTTCTGTGTGCATGATTGTTCAATGGTAAGTTTTGCAAAATATTCAGAGAGCCCCCCCTCAACTTTCTAATTTTATAAAATTCTTCAGGGGACTGGAGAAAAATTATGATTGGTCAACAGGCACAAAAGAAAAGCAACTTAACAAACAAGCAAAAAAAAATCTCATAGCAAACTTAAGTTTCCTAAGAATTTAAAGAAGGTTATTAAAATACCATGCTTTCAGACTTCATACTTAATGGGGAAATAGTGAATGCTTTCCGTGCTGGTTAGCCTTTGTCAAGATACAAACTAATGTCACCTGGAAAGAGGGACTTTCAGTTAAGGAATTGCCTCGAGCACACTGGCCTGTGGGCATGTCTATGGGGCATTTTCTCCTAGACAAGTGGTCCTGGTTTGTATTAGAAAGCAAGCAGAGCAAGCCATGGAAAGGAAAGCAGACTGGCAAGTGTCATTTCTCTGTGGTCTCTGGTACAGCCCCTACTCCTATATTCCTATCGTGACCTCTCTCAGTGATGGACATGGAAATGTAAGACAGAATCAACCTGTTCCTCCTCAGCTTGGTTTTGGGCAGAGTTTATTGCGGCAGCAGGGAAAGCTTGGGAACAGGACGAGGCTGCCCACTCTAATCAATTTCATTCAAATTGTACTGAAGGTCGTGGCCAGTGCAAGAAAAATATAAAAAGGGCTCAAGATAAAAACTGTAGTACAGGGCAGGGGATACCTTCCTGTGAGTTTTTGGTCAAGGAAGCTCCAGGTGTCTCTAATCTAACACAGACTATTGCTCTTGCCTATGGTTACCCACTGTAACTACTCAGTAAGATCCCACCACACACTTTTGTTTCAGGGCTTAGAGAAATCAATCTCAAACTGAACAGGAAGCGTTTTCTTCCTTGCTGGCTAGTTTTTGTAGTGCCAGAAGATGCTCACTTGCTGGTAGCTGAGGAAGAAAAGCTATCAGTGGAGCGGCTTACCAAGTGTGGACCTTGTATGCTCCAGTTATGACCTACCTGCCAGGCAAGAAGTACCCAATGGTGCAATAGGGCTACAATTTTTATGCGGTAATGAAGCACTTTCTGACTGGACTTAAGGCCTGCTCCATTGAAGGGATTTTCGTTCCAGGCACTGTAATTTGCGTCAAAAGCCCAGGGCTGGGAAGGTCATAGACCCTAGGGTAGAACCTGCTATTGCTATTTTGCTAAATGGTCATGTTGTCAAATTGCTTTCTAAATATGAACATGTTCTACTGCACATGTATATAGAAGCCTTAAAAATAAACATTTTTAATTTTATTTTTTATTAGCTCTTTGTGAGTTTCATACACCATGTTTTGATTTGTTTCTTATTCACCCAATTTTGTACCCCTTTGACAAACATTCCTCAAGACCAATCTGTGTGGCCTAATTGTTCTTGGAATGTGTAGTCTTTCACTGGAGGATAGTCGACTAGTTAGGGGTAACACTCTTAGAGAAAACTTTTTTTTCCCTCTTCCAGAAGCTCATAGTAAGAGGTTCTCCCCTAGGGCCTATGACCAGTCTAGTCATAGGTTATTGGCCCAATAATGATGCTAGGTACAGGTTCCATCTTGTGGAGTGGGACTTATATCCAATCAGAAATTAATTGGTCACTCCCATCATGCTGTTGAAGTCATTATTGCACCAATGGGCATATCTTTTCAGACCAGTTATTATTGTAGCTGATAGGGTTCACAACTGAGTGTGACTGAAGATTACTTTTCTACTTGGGTAGTATGTATAGGATCTTCCATCACCATGAAAGCTAGCCAATAGGGTTGAAACTTCTAGGTTAGTAACAACTTGATTTCTCTATGTTCAATGACTCAAGTATGTGGTATTTTCAGCAAGAGAAGGTTGCTGTCAAGTTCTGGGGGGTAACCAAGAGCCATGACCATGGCCTGTATTGTTTCTAACAACTCTGAATAAATTCCTGACACTGAATATCTTTCATTGTTTTAGTTTGTATGTGTTTATTTTTTAAATTTTTGTTTAAAAAATATGTCCTTATTTAAAATTTTTATTTTATTATTATTATCTTTTTGGTTTTTTGAGACAGGGTTTCTCTGTAGCTTTGGAGCCCGTCCTGGAACTATTGTAGACCAGGCTGGCTCCAAACTTAAAGAGATCCACCTGTCTCTGCCTCCTGAGTGCTGGAATTAAAGGCATGTGCCACCACTGCCTGGCAAAAATTTTATTTAATTTTATTTTATGTGCATTAGTATTTTGCCTGCATATATGTCTGTGTGAGGGTGTCGGATTCCCTGGAACAGGAATTACTGACAGTTGTGAGCTTTGCTGGGAATTTAACCCGGGTCCTCTGAAAGAACAGCCAGTGCTCTTAACCACTGAGTCATCTTTCCAGCCGCTAAAAATTATTTTCATACAATATATCTTGATCATATTCTCCCCCTCCCCCAGCTCCTCCTTAATCACACAACTTCATGTGCTCTCTTTCTCAAGAAAGAAAAAAAAAGAAAAAAAACCAGGAAAAGCAAAAAAAAAAAAATGAAAGTAGACAAAGAAGAAAATCAATAAGAGAAAACCCAGACCAAATCAATACAAAACCCAAAGCAAAAAGTGCACTAAAAATCCATGGAGCCCGTTGTGTGTTGGTAAACTATTCCTGAGCATCAGGCCTGCCTTGCAGTGTGGTTGATATTCCCAGTGACGCTCCATTGAAGAAAACTGATTTTCCCTTCCCAGCAGGTATTGACTGCAAATAGTTTCTTGGTTAGGGGAGGTATTTTGTGTCTACTTCCCCTTCTCAGTGCTGAAACTTTGTCTGGGTTGAACTTGTATAGGGCTTATACATACTGTCCCAGTTTCTGTGAGTTCATATGTGGATTAGTTCTGCTGTGACTGTTTCCTAGGAGTCATCCACCATCCCTGGCTCTTATGATCTTTCCTCCTTTTCTTTCCCATGGATCACTGATCCTTGAGAGGAGGAGTTCAATAAAGACATCCCACTTAGGACTAAGTGCTACAAAACCTCTCTCAGTGCATCATTCCATGGTAGAGCTCTTGGTTAATTATTACCTACTGCAAGAAGAAGCTTTTCTGATGAGGATTTAGTGATACTATTTCCTATGACTATAACAACTTGTCGTCAGGAGTCGTTTGATTGCTATGTTCAGTTAGCAGAATGTTAGTAGTAGGCTTTCCCCTGGGCCCATAACCTATCTAGGCTCAGGTTATTGGCCACTTTAGCAGTGTCAGGTATGGGTTCTATCACATGGAATGGGCATTAAATCCAATAAAAAAAAGTGGTTGGTTACTCCTATAACTTTTGTGCCATTGTTGCACCAGTGTGACGACAAGTCTCTGTTTTAGGTCACAGTGTTTTTAACTGGGTGAAATTGATGATTGTTTTTCTCCTCCAGTAGCATGCAAAGTATTTTGCAGCACTGTGAATGCTAATAAGTAGGGGTGAAACTTCTCATTAGGCACCAACTTGATTTCTCTCATGTTAGATGACCTAAATAAGTGTTGTCTTCAGCAATAAGGACTTCCCATCAGGTTATAGAGAGTAACCAATAATCTTGACACTAACCTTTGACAGTTGGGAGAGTCTATGAGACCCATTTGGCCAATGACTCAACAAGATGTAACCAATTCCTGGCACTGGAAGTTTTACTTGGTGGCATAAGACATCTAGATGGGGCATTGTCTCCATGGTGACTCCATTTAAATTCTTCCCACATTTGTGTATATTTTAGGAAGCGTCTTCAGGAGTAGGAATTCATATGGTTTTTCAAGTGGCCTTTAGTGTTAGTTGTCAATCTCTATATTCCTTCCTTTACCCTGTACTCCCATTCTCCTCTCCATTTAATCCTCCTATTCTAGTTTTCTCTTTATTTCTTTATAACACTATACTATTTATTTCACATGTCTTAAAAGACCTCCCCTCCTGTGACCACCTACTAGATATTTAACTTCTGTGGTTCTTTGGATGGAAATACACATATAGAAAGTCTAAAAGCTAACATCAGCATTTAAGAGAAAAGTTGCAATATTTGGTTTTGTTTTGTTTTGGTCTGGAGTACCTTAGTCATGATGTTTTTTTTTCTAGTTCCATCCATTTACCTTTGAATGTCATAATTTGATTTT